ATATCCTATATATATATATAATATGTTGTAAACATGAACAGTACTTATGTGTCACCTAATATTATTAATATATGTATTATAATCTTAAAAAGTTAAAATAAGGAAAATAATTACAATAAAAAATTATAAAATTATTAAGAGAAATTGGATACTTATTTTAAAAATAATATAAATTGATATTATATTTTTACATAAGAGAAGAATGGAAAAGTTGTATAACATGTACAAATGTAAAAAAATTAAAATTAAAATATCATAAAAATATAAAGAAAAAAATTAATAATTACAAAACGTATCCAATTTTTTTATTAATATGAAAAAAATGAGGAACATTAATATTAGTCTTAATTAATAATATAAAAGAAATAAGTCATTCATAATATGAAATTATCAAATTACAGAAAATTTATGAATTTGCTAATATTGTTTTTATGTACGAATTATCAAATTACAGTAAATTTATTATATATTGTTCAAATCAAATATGAAACAATGGGTTAATTTGTGAAGTTGTATAATATGTGAGTAATATTGAAAAGTTATAAAAGTTGATGTAAAAGAGAATATTCCGAGAATATTCTTTTGGGTTAGAAAATGAGTTTTTCGGTTGGAGATAGAATTACTGCAAAATAGGATAGGTACTGCAAAATGGATTTGAGTATGGAGTATTCGGTTGGAGATGGTCTAATGTGATCATCTTAACTACAAAACAGAAATTGGGCATTGCCAAAAGAAATATGTGCCAAACCTTGAAACAAAATTGGCTGAATTTGGTTTTTTATTTTTTTTTAAAGGAGTGAACTTGATATTTTTAAGGCAAAATTGCCCCTAATATCACGGCCTTTTATTGAAATTGCGATTTAATCGTGACTTTTTTACTTTTGCAAATTATATCACAATCTTTAGTTTATTGCAAGTTGGTGCACGGGTCCCGAAAACAGTCATAGAAAGGTTGATGTGGTCGAAAAACAAATTGAACATTGTGTTGTACGGATTACGCAAATTGGTGCACCGATTTGCAACAAACTGAAAATTGCGATATGATTTGCAAAAGTGAAAACGTCGTGATTAAATTGCAGTTTCGAAAAATATCATGATATAAAGGGCAATTTTGCCCATTTTTAAATTGACATAATGTTATATTTTATGGTTACTTGTTCCCAAATTGAACCCAGAATCCAATAAATTCAACAAAATAATAAATATCACTAAATCTAAAATTAGGTTCATTCATTTTTTTTCTTTTTTTCTTTAATTAGGTTTATTCAGTTGTGGTCAATATTATCCATAGCATCAATTTATTTTTTTCTAAGTTAGGTACTATCGCATTTTCCTCTTAACTCCCACATTAAAAACTACCAACTAAAAAGAGAAAAATGCTCCACCTTTTTTGATGATATAATCAGCAAACTATGCATGCATTTTACAATTGTCCACGTGTAAAACTACTTATTGAAAAAAAAATAAAACAATAATTATGTATTGCATTTTTTTTAATTTTTATTTTATTTTATTATTATTATTATTTTTTTTTTTGTCGCACAGATTTAACACTAAAAAACTCAAAGGAGTCCTGACCTTTTTTTTGGGCCTGATATTCATTGTACATGTGAAAATTGAGCTCCCAATTGTTTTGTACCAAAAGGATATCTTTTTAGAAAATGATTGAAAAAATGAAAAATATAAAATCTTTAGAGAATGATTGATGGACACAATCCATACCAAACAAGGTGCAATGTTTCAGTTTCTAGAAATAGGCATGACTAGTCCTTTCGGGGACATTCGATAAAATTAGAACGATACAGAAAAGATTAACATGGCCCCTGCGCAAGAATGACACGAATAAATCGAGAAATAGAAATAGGCATGACTCTTTTTTGGATTCTACCTATTTATTTTTTTAATTCGAAGCACATGTATGTATGTATGTGATAGAAATAGAATCCCCTTAACTTAATTTAAAATGGTATTTCAAATTGTACCAAAAAAAAAAAAAAAAATGGTATTTCAAATCATATTTCACTCAATGTCGGTATTATTCATTTAATAAAATGATATATGTTTTTAATATTTTTTCCCCCCTTTTATATGATCAAATTAACGAACAGCGCCTTTTATTCCGACTTCTAGAATATTGAAAATAGCCCAAATATGTATATAAAAGATAGAGTAATGCTCCTTTACTTACAGTGGATACATGTTAATATGTGCACCGGTTATGTGACATGCACATATTGGTGATGTTAATATGTTCAGAAAAATACATCACCAATGTGTATATGTCACATAAGTGGTGGACATATTAACACGTGTCAACCGTAGGTAGGGGAGATAATCATCATTCGGCTAAAGTTAGGATAACAGTACGTAGCACCTTTCATTTTTCCTCTTAATGTAAGCTTGGTGGTGGGCCTGGTGGCTATAAAATATACTATAGCTATTGGAAATCGAAGTGGGCGGTGAAATCTTTTTAGGCCGAAAGAGATGAATTATTCGTACGGCCCAAATTGGACCACCTAAATTAAATCTGGGTTTGACCCATCCTTCGGCCACGTCACGCAGGCCCATCCCCAAGCTCTTACTATGTTTAGAAAGTATGATGTCCAAAATCATCATTGTTTTCACAAAACTCTTCAAACTATGCTACGTAGGTTAGATATATAAAACTTCATAATCTAATAAGTTAATTAAACAACTTCTTAGGTCTCAACCCAATAGTATTCAAAGTAATAACCATAGTATCTCATTATTTATTTATTTTCATCCATATGATGTGTATCGATCCATCGATAAAAAAATATAATCCACACTAGCGGAACATAATTTCCCTTATGCCTAGAACTATAATCCAATGACTAAAGTTATAAAACCTCGCACATTTCGGGCTTTAAAACAAGTTGTCGATTCAAATCGATATTGTTTTATTGTTTTTTTGTTAGGTTAATCTAATCATTAGGCCCACGTACTATTTTCACAAAAATGTTGTCATTCAAATTAGTCAATGGGAATAACGTTTTACGCCATGAATGTTTCTTCCTTTGTACAATGCAGATAAATGTTGCAATCAAAACCTAACATTTGATCCTTTTTTATACTTTTGGAGCTTTGAGGTTCGCATTTGTGAAGTTAACGTAAATTATGTTCTACCTTTAAAGCAAGAGACACTTGTGCTTACGTGCACCCAACCTTTAACTGAGTTCACAGTCAACGCTCTAAAAGCATACCAAAAAAATTCAACCCACAAAAATATAATGCCACACCTACGTGGCATATCTAATGTCACACATCCGAGTAAAACAAGCAGAGACGCTGTGAATACATGAATAATCGTGTTCATGAACAGTTCTCTCTTACGGTTTTGGATTTGTTAAACGAGTAGAACAAAAGCTTTCACGAGCTTCAAACAAGCATAGACGTGCCGGCTCGTTTATTAAACGAGCACGACCTCGAACACGAAGCACCCAACTCAGCTCGGAGAAAACCTCTACTAAAAAAACACAACACATCTCAATGCCTTCTTAACATTGTTTTCTTCTTCCTTATTCCCCCCCTTTTGTTTGAAAAAAAATAAATAAACAAATAAATAATGTTCGTTCTACTGTATTAAACATGAGAAAATTGCATAGAATTTATGTGGCACGAGAAATTGCACCAGTACACATAGGCATGAGGAATGTTTTCCAGTATTCATGTCGCAATAGAGTTTTTCATACCTTTTTTTTCTATTTCATTTTTCTTTAGTTGCAAGTCTTATTACGTCTTTTTTTTCCCTGCAAGTCTTATTACATCTTATGGCCGGAGCTTTGACCAAAAATTACTTTCCAAATTTCACACAGGAAATAATCAAATATAAATGACCACAAAATAATTTCATACAGATAACTTAGAGCAATCAATTTTTATTTATTTATTTATTATTTTTTTTTTTAATGAAGTGAAATAAATAACGAGCAGCAGTAGGTCAGTAATCAGTAACAGTGAAATAACATGATAGCATTATCCAAACTCAACGACGAATTTTCCAAAATAGACCTCACTTTGAGAGCGAGTTGATATTTTTTCGCGAATTGCCCGACGAGCTTCTCTCTAGGTAATTGTAGAACCTGAAACACAGCACATAGACGGGGAAAAAGAAATTACGAGTTCCACATTATGGAAATGAAAATGCTCGAATGTAGCATCACCAAGAATGAGTTCCTTCAATCACATATATATATATATATATATATATATATTCATTTTTCTTAGTTCATTTTCGAGATTTTACTACTATTGGTTATTATTTTCCTTTTTCAATTTAAACCAAGGCCATTTAAAATAAAATGCTATGATGAGTATGTCACAAATACCTCTTTTCCACGTTCATACTCGTGAGCTATTCTGAGTCTCAAATTCAAAGCGGCATGGTACATCTCATCAAGAACTTGGTCCCAAAGAGAATGCTTATCTACACCCCACACATTAAACTTTGTTGGTCGACCAGCTCCAGTAGCCGTCAATGTCTGCAATGTGTGTAAACTAATAGTTTCAGTTTCTTTTTCCATCCTTTGAATTTTCGGAAATAAATTGGTGATCTTGATTCAAATGCTAGCCTTCTCACTCTAATAGAGTGTATACTTCACATGGCATTTGTAGTTGTTGTTTTAAGTTTTTTAACACAGCATATTGTGTTAATTTTAGCTACCAAAATGGAAAAAGATTATACCTCCATGTAAATGAATTCGTCTTTCCAGAGCTTGTACAGGATCTGGATTGCAACTTTCTTGTCGACGAAAGTAGATTCTGCAATCTTTAGAGATGAGCTGCTGATCAGATTACTCGGTAGAAAATGATTTCAGGCAAAATAATCAAAATACACATGGAAAGAACTGAAATTAAAATCACACCAAAAAAAAAGGCTAAATAATGTAAGAACTGAAACAAAAATTCACACAAAGTAGAATCCACAGAACCAACTTAAAATGAAAGTTATAAAAAGTGTAAGATATAAGTAAAAACTTATTAGCTGAGTGTCAGTTGCTATTGGTTTTCTTGAATCTGGAAAACGGATGCAAGGAATAGTATAAGCTTTGATTTTTAATAATTTGAATACTTGGCAAGCTTATCGAACTTGTAGAACGATCACTAATTTTACATCGTCAACAAATCCAACAGAACAGGTCTCTCAAATTATCCCCACCCCTGACACGACAAAAAAAAAAAAAGGACAATCAGAAAACAAAGAGCATTTCCTCGAGAGAGTAGTATGGTAGAGGTACCTTATCAGTCTCAACAAGACGACCAGCTTTCGACAATAACCTGAAAATCCTGTAGGCCTCCTTTCCATGTCTTCTCATTACCACTGACTCCACCTAAATCAAAATCAATAATATAATACATCAATATATCCAAAACACAAAAGCTTGGGTGAAGGAAAATTACGAACTTCTTCATTTTGAGCCATTTCAACGAATCTCCTTATATCTGTAGAAATGGAGAAGGGTAAACCGGCAAGCATCAGTATCTGGACTAGAAACAATCACCAAGTTTATAATATCATCAGACAGCTCCACCAAAATGCAGAAAGAATAGAATACAGATACCGATGCTAAAGGTATCCTCTAGCCCAGCTGAGACGATTTCACATCCAAGCTGCTCAAGTGAAACTTTGATACGCTCAAGGTCCATCCCAAGACCACCCTCTTTCTTAATCACCTCAGGATATATCTCATTTAGGGACAGGTAAGCTGAAATTACAAGTCAGCAATGATAGGTCATATAGAGTTCACTGGTAATAAGAAGGGGGGATGGGTTATTCCAAATGTCAAAATTCTATTCAAGCATGTAAAGAAGGGATTATTACCAGTGTTCTCAGTTGGTCCACTCTCCGACCGTCCATTTAAATCCAGAACGGCACCCAACACAATGCTAGCTTCGTCATTAATCTTTGTCTTCACATATGAAACACAAGCCTGCAACAGATCGTAAATAGATAAAATTATCAAATCAAGAATGTTGAAAATGTAGCTAAGGCATGGTCAGAGGTGTACTGAATTAATAGTGAAAAAATACCTTTTTTCTCATATGGTGCATAAATTCCTCGAAATTAACCCGCCAAAGGACTTCCTTCTTTTCATCATTGGGATCCAAGACATCCTCATCTGACTTTAAAGCTCGCTTGCGCTACCCAATTTAAGAAACAAGTTGGGAAACCTCAATAGAACTTAAAACATCACATAAAGGAAAATTTCACAGGGTAAATTAGCGTCCTAACCTTTTCCCCAACTGAAACGCTCTTACCATTCTCCTCATCATTTTTTTCCAGGTTTTCATCCATTTCCATCAAAAACCTCATTGACTCCAGTGGAGCAGCAGCATCAATAGCACGCTGCTCCTTCGGGGGTATTCGATTTAGCTGTCAAAGTGTGAAGCAACATTATTGTTACTGTCGAGTCAATTGTTACATCACGGACTAGTCCAAATATATTGTAGTGATCACATAAATATGCCTGATTGGCTATTACTGATAAAATATATAGTGAGTGAAACAAAGAATTGGATCCAAAATAAAAACACGGAGCAATCTTTTCACCCAACAGCTAAAAAAACACTTCACTCAGCCCACAGTTTCTCTCCTCAATTTCTCAATGCAACTATTAAAATAATACAAAACATTTCTCTATAAAATTTTCCATTCATCTACGCACACATTTATAACTACCAACAATATTTTACTATTCCACTGTCAGTGTTATCAAATGGCGGCCATGGTGGTATGCCGTGGTGGATTTTTGACAAACCCCCATTCTATATTTGTGAAGGATGGCACTTATGGCGGCCGCTATGGTGTGATTTTTGCCTGCCGCCATCCACCATTAATAACAGTGTTCACTATCACTTCACAGTTAATTGTTACACTTTATATCACATTATAAAAATCATTAATTCTTTCACTAAATCTTTCTCCAAAGATTTTCTTTTCCTAACGAAACTATATCCAATTGCACCCTACGTACTCCCATTCTTTCCCTCTAGACATCAATTTTTTAAAATATTGCACGTTAGATTTTCAGTTCACAGTCCTCTTTATTTTGGAACAAACTATAATAAGAGCCAATATCACTAAATGATCATCATAGCACTAATAAACAAGAAAAGATTCCATTTCTTCAGATAATTGTCAGAGCAACTACCTTGGCTAACTTTGAACCCCTTTTCTTTGCAGCAGATTCATCTTCAAGCGGTGGGAGAAATGGATCAGGAGCAGGACAGCGTTCAACAAACCGGGCATTCAAAAGTCTATTGAAGTTCTCTCGAAGGGTATGAATATCCAAACTACCTACAAGAACATAGCAGAAGTCCTAGAGTCAAGAGTTTGCAAATGCATATCATGGTATTAAAATCTCAATGAGCTTACAGATTATGGACAACTATCACTATCCATATCAATTACTTTTTCATTGAGACATTGTCAGCCTTGGGTTCATTAACCTGATTCGAATTACCCACCTCTTAATAATCAATGAATAGTTACCTACCATTGAACAATTCTGTAGATGCCACACTAATTATATAACATAGCAAGATTTTAGGTCCATAATTGGTGATGTGTAATTGAACCCAAAATATCAGCGTTGTGAAAAAATTAACAAACATATCCATGAATCTTTAATTGAAATTCTGACACAATAATGCCCTAACCTCCATTAGCTAATTTAATTTAGACGTGCATGTAGAGACTAGAGTGTATAGTAGTCTATGCTAATAAACAATGCATCATAAGGCTATTATCAAACAATGCTTTTCACTTAGATCGTGGTAACTAATTTTAATATCTATACAGAAATCCTGTTGCCTAATTAGTCATCTTGAAGACATGAGGCGAATATTTACACAAGCTATAAAAGAGATGCCTCCATCTTTCCATAGTGCACCCACCTTAATGGAAAGCTTTGTACACAGTAAAACAAATGGTCAATTTAACAGTAGTACCTGTTGTCTCTTCCTTCCTCTCAATAATTTGCTTAAAAGAAAGCCTGCCGTGTTGAATCAGCCCTTGAAATATTCCCAAACACTGTACAAAGATTAAAAGAAAAATTTCATACTGCCTAGTTGTCAAATTTAAGAATAATTTTCACAAGTGTATGCAAAGAGGGATCCTTACGTCTTCACCAAGTTCATCTGATACAATTTGCAAAAACTTTGGAGCCCGTGATTTGTGCATGACATTGTCAAACAATGCCATATACTGGGTAATAACTTTTGGTGGCTCACCAAAAACATCTGCAAATCAACAAAAACAATTGTGCATAAGTAAAACCATCAGCATGGGATGTTACATTTACATACTATTTGTGGATTGATAACACATTTATATTCGACCCACAATATCAACTATGCCGTTGTTAACTCAATTCAACCAAATGAATCAAGTTCAATCAGTAAGTAAAACAATTCAAAAAGGCAAAGAAATCAATCATCTACTTCTAATCAAGCAAATTCATTGCAACTCGAACAAAGTTTTCCACAGAAAAATGTACTTTCAGCCACACTTTGCTACCATCATCCCACTTTTCCCTTACATAATAAAAAAAAGGCTTCAATTGCAAAGCATATACTATATTTTATTTACCATTTCGTTGGAAGGAGAAGGCTTGAACGCAGTTCTGATGAATCAAAACGCGCAAGCAATTGACGACGTTTTCTCTGGTCAGTTGCGTGTGCTTGATTATTAACCCTACACTTAAAGATCCTCGTCTAAGCAGACACTCGCATACTTTCTGCAACGCAAGAAAAACAATCAAATCAAACTAGAAGATGAAGAAAATAATAGTATCAATAATAATAATAAAAAAACTGATAGGAAGAACAGAGACTTACCGAGCACAAGTCCCCGTAAAATGTTGAGATCAAATGGGCGGCGAATTGGATGCCGTGCGGCGGCGGTGGCGGTGGCGGTGGCGGCGACGGCGTCTCCATTACTGAGTGCGATTAGGAGAGTGACGAGGGGAGGGACCGCAACGGCGGTTTAAGCAGCCTACCAAACCGGATCATGAGCCGGTGAGTGCGTTGAACCGGCCAGTTATACGAAACTGCCGGTTTGCTAAAAATATAGAAATATGGATTGGGTATTTGATGGATGGGTGAGCCACGTATGGGCTGAAAACGTGCTAGGCCCGGAGATAAAAATGGGCCTGACTGAACTGAACCAAGCATTTTGGGCGCATGAATTTGTGGAATAAAACTGGGGCTTCTCCCTAGTAATTTTAATAAGAAAATTATTTATTTAGGAAATTATTCCATCTATAAAATTAAAATATTAGTATTTATGATCCTAATTTAACTATTACCCTAACTATAATTGCTTGTTTGGCACTTAAGCATGTAGGAAACACTTGAGCCGCCTATACATAATTTAATTGTAATTGTTAGCTAAATATTGATTCTTGTTTTATTAATGTTATAATTGATTTTATTATAATAAACTTTCAACCAAATCAATGGAAAACTACTATAACAAAATCCAACACATACACCCATGTATCATGTCATTTTGATACGAATTGGTGAAGTGAAATTTACTTGAAGTTTCAATGTGGGGTTGGTAAGATATGTCATATGTTAGTTGGTTCAGTTACTCAAGTGAAGCTGGTGGGCTTTGCCTCACCATTTTGGTCACTCTTGTATGGAGAAAAAAAAAAATAATAAAATCCCCACAAAATCGGGGAATCTTAAGGTTCGATTTATTAAGTCATCACCGTTAGAAAAGTATATCACATCGTAACTGTAATCTTTCGTCGGATTTGAATGTGATTAGATAACTTCATCTCGAGTCTGAGATGCTCGGAAATAACTTAACAAAGATATCTGATCTGAAATCCGAATAGATAATTTCATCCCGAGTGTAAGATACTCAAAAAGATTAACTCAACAACAAAAGCAAATACAAAATAGATCACAAAATGGAGTCTTCTATCATGCATGTAACCATCAAGCCCATATACATATATGTATGTTGAAATAACTTGTTCACACGTGTGATTGGTCCTAATTGAGATACACACATCCTTTATTTATTTATTTATTTTTTTTTTTTATTTTTTTTTTGCGACTGGAGGTATCCCCACGTTCAACTCCTAGACTTCACCACGAACTGCCAGCCCCCCCACGGGGTACGGGCTTAACGGCCTAAGGGATCCACACCCAGAGGTGTGAGACTAATCCTCCAGGAGAAGTGAAGTGCCTCATCCCCACTTCCCATGATAGTCAGGTTCGATCCCCTTACTTTCGTTTTCACAGGGAGTTTCACCCTCCTACTAAGCCAGTGGACTACATGCCCTGGGGCAAATCCTTTATGACCACATCCTTTATGACCACATAAAAGTAGAATCACACATATAGAGTGGCATCCTCCCTATATATAATTCTCTAATGCACTGAGCCTACGTGGCTGCTCTGGTGCTTCGGAATCCTATTTGGCGAAGAATCATGCTTCATAATTAGGTTCGGATAAATAATATTGATATATTAATAATCTGGGTATTCCATAAATATTATTTAGTTAACTTAGATATTTTAATATCACTTTTACTAATATAACCCTTTAATTTTTTGTAATTTTACATAGTGAGGCACTAAGTGACTAATATATCCCTGAATTTTGATTTGTTTCCTTCAATAAGCTACTGAATTATAAATATATTTTAAAAGTTAATAACTTTTGTATTTCTTATCGGTTTTACATATATAATATATCAAATTAGTCATCTTTTGATAATCTTCGATTTGACATCCATATTGTATATATGAAATAAATAAATTATATTTATCTTTATAATAATAAAA